GCTAGGATTACAGGCGTGAGCCACCGCGCCCGGCCGCTAATTTTTCTTTCTTGCAATCTCTGTTTCTATGCATTTTTCTACCTAGTTATAACATTGTATCTTACGTTTTTCATTTAACACTATAGGCATAAACTTTCCTATTCTGCCACATAATCTTCATGACCATCGTTCTGACTAGACATACGGTATATCACTAAGTGGATGCGTAAGCTAACTGCATCATCAAAGGAACTGGGCCAAAAATTGCATATATGTGAGTATATAAACTTATATGGTAAAAATTTATAAAAGTATATAGTAAATACAGTCTAAAAAGAATATGTAAGCAAAATATTTAACTGTGGAATATTTCAAACAGAATAATCTTTTAATTTCTTAAGAGAAAGAGATGGGGGACAGGTTTCCTGCGTTGAGCACTAGATAAGGGACAGTGGCTGGCTGATGCGGTGAGGCCTTGAGCAACCGCCACTCATGTTCAACAACTGAGTCACACCAGCCCAACCAGACAGTCACACCTCAAGAGGCACAGGAAGCTGATCCTGACACAAGGAAAAACACACCTGGCCCTTCCTCCTCATGCCGCTGCGGGCCACACGCTTACTGAAGCACTGGCACTTTTTAATTCCTTTCCTCTCTTTTTCCCCACCTGTGAGCACAATTGACTTTGTAGAAGATACACACATGTATGATGGGACTTCACTGTGTCTTCTACTTGTTTCCAAGGTTGTTTGCAGTTTCTTGCAATTATAAGAAATGCTACACTGAACACCTTTGTGAATATTCTCTATGCTTAGGATTATTTGCTTCAGATATTTGACCACAGTGGAATTATTTAGTTAAACATTTTTAAAGTCTTTAATAGACACGAATAAACTGCTTTGAGAATTTATATGGCTGCCAGCAAAATTTAAAATTTTACTGTACTTCCTCCTACATAGTCACTATAAAAAAATTCTCAGCAAATAAAATGGTAAAAAGAAATAGTGGGCCGGGCGCAGTGGCTCACGCCTGTAATCCTAGCTCTCTGGGAGGCCGAGGCGGGCAGATTGTTTGAACTCAGGAGTTCG